GTCACCAACCACAATGACATTTGACCCAGATCATTAATGCTTCTGAACTCAATAATTCCTCCCATTTCAAGCCCAGAGTTCCCAATGTCCTGAGGGCCCATTGCTACTGGCTGAATCCTGTCCCTGACCTCGTGACTCCCACGCTGGTCCCATTAGCTATTGCAGGGGACCAAGAGCAGATTCTACTCCTGGGATCTGACCCTCTGCCCTTTCCATTCCAGCTGATGGCTGGATCCACAAGGCTGTGGTCCTGGGCTCTGGTATGCACATTATTGAAGAGACACAGTTGTTCAAGGAGCCCCAGTCTGTGGAAAATCTGGTCATCTCTCCAATGCAGGTAACCCCTAACTTGTGACCCTCTGTATGGTCTTCCCAGAATAGGGGGAGGGATTAGGAAGGCGGGGCACTGTGTATGTGTCTATAACCTGGCCCAGGCCTTGTGGCTGTTCAACGGAGTGGGGGGTATTGCTGACCAGCTATCCTCTCTGGCTCCAGCATAGCCTCTATGTGGGGGCCTCTAGTGGAGTCATCCAGCTACCACTGTCCAGCTGCTCCCGCTACCGCTCCTGCTATGACTGCATCCTGGCCCGGGACCCTTACTGCGGCTGGGACGCCAACACCCATGCCTGCGTGGAGGCCTCCACCATAGTGAACAGGTCCCAGGGTAGCAGGTGGGAAGTTGTGGGGAATGTGAAGGTCCCGTGTGCCCAGGGACTCAGAGCCTGAGGGGGAGGAAGACCTGCCAGCTGTAGGGGGAGTTGGAGCCAGTTGTCGGTAACAGCCCTATTGACCCTTTCACTGGGGAAACTGAAGCCCAGTTCCCTTTGCTTATGAGTCCTGATCTTCTGTCTCCAGGACAGCACTGATACAGGACATAGAGAGAGGAAACCGAGGCTGTGAGGGCAACAGGGACACAGGTAAGTGATATTCATGGATGTGTGTGGGTCTGACTGCATAGCCTGTCCTCTTTACCATTTACTGTCATTTGTATGCACATGTATGTATCTGAATGGCTGTGTCTGTGTGCTTTCACAGAGTAAGTGCTCAATAAACATTTGTTGCCTAAAAAAATTAGGAGAAAACAGGTGCATTTCTGGACCTTACAGCCAAGTGGAAGGAGGAGGGGCTGGCAATCACATGATCACACAATTAATTATAATTATTTCCATTGGTTTTTATTACAAAAGAAAAAATACAACAGTGACAAGGGTTTAAAGGATCATGGATACTTCCCCAAGATCAAATGACTGAGGTGATACCTGAAGAGCAAAATTTAATAATCATAGCTAACATGTACCAAGTACTTTCTACATACCAAGCACTCACATGCAGTCTCACTTATTGTCTCAGCATTCCTATGAGAGATGCCATTGTCATCCCCAAGGGGGGCAACCTCTCTGAGGCACAGGGAGAATAAGTAAACTGCCCAAAGTTAATCGGGTACTAAGTGGCAGGGTCAGAATTCGAACCTGCCCCCAGCAGTCATACTGGAATTTGTGCTTTTGACCACTGCTATGCTTTCCCCTCTCAAGGTAACAAGGCAAGTGGGGGCCACAGGGAGAGGGATGACACCCATGCAAAGGTAACAGCAGGCAGAGCAAGCTTGGTGTGTTTGAGCAACAAGAGAAGAGGCTGGAAAAGTGGGCAGGCTAAGGCAGGGGAGTGGCAGGAGCAGCTGTTTTTAAAAGGTCACCCCATTGCTGCATGAAGAATGGGTTTGATGGGGACCAGAGTGGGCCAGCAGTTGGGGAAGAAGTGAAGTGAACAGGTCTGAAATAGATTCCAGAAGCAGGATCTTGGTGAGGATTCGACACAAGGGGGTGGGGAGGCAGTGAGAGGCAAGGGAGACTCCCAGGTTTCTGACTTAAGCAGCTGAGTAGCTGGTGATGCTATGCAGTGATAACAATTCAAGGAAAAGACCTGGTGTCTTTAGGGGGCTTTAGCCTTAGTTCCTGCGGCATGTTGATGCCCAGCATGTGGAAGATATTCAAATCTGACGCTCAGGACAGAACTCTGTGCTGGCGGCAGAGATTAAGCATCACTGGCAGATGGCAGGAATTGAAACCACGGGGAAGAGCCAATGTGAACCTTCTGTGTGAGCGAAATACAGAAAGCTTGGCCAGTTGTCACCATGAGTCCACATTCTGTGCTTGGTGCTGCCACCATAACAGTGAGCCACCTGGCTTGCCATCTCCAGTGCCTTCCCTAAGATTGGCAGGTACTGACTACTACTCCTGTCCCCTACTCTCTCCAGGGCCACCACCACCAACGAAGACCCGCTCTGTGCTCCGGGGTGATGATGTCCTCCTGCCCTGTGACCAGCCATCCAACCTGGCCCGGGCCTTGTGGCTGTTCAACGGGAGCATGGGCCTGAGTGATGGGCAGGGTGGCTACCGTGTAGGCGTGGATGGGCTGCTGGTGACAGACATACAGCCTGAGCACAGTGGCAACTATGGCTGCTACGCTGAGGAGAATGGCCTCCGCACCCTGCTGACCTCCTACAGCCTCATGGTGCGGCCAGCCACTCCTGCCCCTGCTCCACAAGCCCCTGCCATGCCTGGGGCACAACTGGCACCTGATGTGAGGCTGCTCTATGTGTTAGCCATTGCTGCACTTGGTGGCCTCTGCCTCATCCTGGCTTCCTCCCTCCTCTATGTGGCCTGTCTTCGGGGAAGCAGACGAGGGCACCGACGGAAATACTCACTGGGTCAGGCTGGCAGGGCAGGGGGCTCTGCTGTGCAGCTGCAGACAGTCTCAGGCCAGTGTCCTGGAGAGGAAGATGAGGGTGACGACGGGGAGGGTTCTGGGGGTCTGGAGAGTGGTTGTCTCCAGATCATTCCAGGGGAAGGAGCCCCAGCCCCACCTCCTCCACCCCCACCCCCCCCACCGGCTGAGCTGACCAATGGGCTGGTGGCACTACCTAGCCGGCTGCGCAGGATGAATGGCAACAGCTATGTGCTCCTGAGGCAGAGCAACAATGGAGTGCCCGCGGGGCCCTGCTCCTTTGCGGAGGAGCTCAGCCGCATCCTGGAGAAGAGGAAGCACACGCAGCTCGTAGAGCACCTGGATGAGAGCTCTGTCTGAGCCCAGCCTCCCAGGACAAATGCTCTTCCAAGCCAGCCTGTCTGCCCCAGGCTGGGCCGCTGCCTCCCAATACAGCCACCCCACCTTCACCCTCCCCAAATCCAGGCCCTTCCAACTTTTGATGTCCCTATAGGGCTGGCCAGAGTCAGGCCCAGCCAAAGTCCCCTTCTCAGTCTCCACAGACCCATCTGTGAGCAGCCCAGGCCAACTGGTTCTCCTCAGAGGTAGGTACTCCCTCAGATTCTTCAGCCCCAGCCTGTTCCTATTCCCCTAACCTAAGCACTTGGGAGGAGAGGACCCTATCCACCTGCCCCATTCATCTGTTCAAATCCTTCCTCTTTCTCCCAGGCAGGGGCCTGCAGGTCCAGATGGCCTCAATGTCACCATCCTCTGCATGGCCTCATGTGCTGGATGGTCCTGACACCAGACAAGACCTCTGTCAGCCAAAAGAGCCACCTGAGCCCTGCGTACATTCACATGCACACATGGAAGAATGTCTACCAGCTGGGCTGCAGGCCCCCACCCTCACCTTCTGGTGCATTCTTATTTCATCCCTTTTCCTGGACTTTGGGTACCCTCCCAATTGCCACAGCCCATCCTATCTAGTCCTCTCCCTAATCCCAGCCCCCAATGGTGACCTCTTTGTCAAGAACTTGGGAACAGACCGGCAGTGGGAGGTAAGACTGAATCATTCCCCTCTTCTCCCTTAATGTGCAGCCCTTATGAGTCAGCCCCCCATCCCCTTGGTCACTCTCAAGAGTGACAGAGGCAGAGTTCTAGGCATGTCCCTCACATACACGTGCTTACATTTCCACTCACACGCACCTTATGAGCCTCCTCTTGCTGCCTCGGACCTATTGGGTTTGGTCCATGGACATTTCAGAGAGAAAGCCCTCTCCGGTTTAGCTGTCCTTGCAGACACTTCCCTAGGACGGGCAACCCACACTGCACTCAATGAGCCAGCCTCCCTTTTGGGGACCAAGCATTTGCTACCCCTAGACCAGAGCAGGAGGAAAGATCTGATGTCTCACCTGGCACATGAAGCCCGTTCTTGGAACTATGCAAAGGGCAGAGGCTGGGAGTTTGGATGCTTGGCTCCCACCCTGTCCTACCTCACCGGGGCACTTTCAGGGTCCAGGGGTCTCTTAAGTCTCCAGGCCCATATGGGACAATCAAATCCTGACTGACCAACCCCTTCCCTTGGGTGAGGATGACTGTTATTTTTGTAGCTGAGAACGTGGAATCCCACGGATTTTTATTGCCCTTCACCCATCCTCTCCCACCTCAACCCCACAATGAATGTATTTATTGTGCGATGGCTACACTTCTTTAGGAATGCCCCCACTCACCACCTAGGTGGGTGGAATGGGCATAGGACAGTGGGGAGCCTGGGCTCAGCTCCTCCACTCTATTGGTTAATAAATACCCTTTTTCACCCATGGCTATGAGTAGTCTGCTTGGTCTAAACTAGCCTTCCCCTCATCACCAGGGCATAGGCTTCTGAGCCTATAGAAAAGGTGCTGCAGGGTTGGCTGCTCCCCATAAAACCATTTGCAGAGGAAATTGGGATCCTCAGCTTCCATCCTGGCTGCCCTTTGTTAAAGGGCTATCACTAGTCATTGATCATGACAATAAGGGCATGACAAAAGTAGAGTAGTTCAAGAATTCATACAAAGGTTTCTAGGTTTTTACCTCCTAGCTCTTTTCCTCACCATCTCCCCCCCCCCTTTTTTTTTTAGCTAAACCCCTAGAAGATGCTGCCCATTTATCAGCTGGCCTAAGAATCATTCTCTCCAAGGGTCAGGCCTAGATTAATTACATGGCCTTTGATATTAAGCATCCTGAAGGGTTATTATATGCCCTGCTTCTAGTTTTATGATCATAAAAAACGGAGTTATACTTAAAATATGCACATATTTTGAAGACCTCAAGACCATGGCGAGTTTATTAATCTCAGTTTTCTAGTTTGTACACATTCACACAGCCTTGCCCAATGTCAAGTTCACAGCAGAGAAGGTGCTAGCTCTCCTTAGGTCAGTGATTGCAGGAACAGGACATCAGGGATTCTCCAGAAGCCAGCCTTGAAATCCCTCACAGTGATTTGAGATCAGCATTATCAATTTGGATTTCAGAAAGGAGGATCCGGTAAGATCCTAGAAGACTCTCAGGTTTCAGTAATGTCAAATGGATAAGAATTAAGAGACACAAAGTCACTGCCCCTACAGTGGGCACCAAAAAGAAATAGGCAGCTCTTTTTTATCCCAAGCAAAAGGTTTGGCATCAACTTCCCCTTTCGTGGGCTCCACCTGTCTGCCTGATCTTGTAATCCCCTGAACCAAAAGAGGAACAACTATCTTCACTGGGATTGAGTTGGGGCAACTCTTCACTGCGCTTGCACCTGGGCTGGGGCAGGATCCTGGACCTCTCGGGGGCGCAGCCCGCCCCACGTTGTCGGTTTGTTGGTGAAGGGGTGCCACTGGCCCTGGATGCTAGGGCTGTCCGTGTGGAAGGGCTTGCGGATGCGGATTACGTCCAAACCCGACTGGTTTGCTAACTTCTGCACCAGCGTCGTGATCTCCTCGACCGACTTGCAGTTGATGCTCTCCTCGCGCACAGCCCCGTTAACTGGCAAAAAGGAGGGGGGGGGAGTAAGAAGCGGCGGGGCTGTCAGATGTCAGAGGACCGACGGCAACAGGCCTACCCTCCCCCCCGTACCCCGCCCTCCAGCCACCGCCCGGCCCCACTCACGGTATTCGGCCACGATTCTGGGCACAGAGCACGGCCGCGGGTTCACGTATATTACGACCCCTGGGTTCCGTCGGGCGAAGTCGGCCAGCTCCTGTTCTACGAACTCCCTGAGAAACCCAAGGGTGAGCACGGTGACTCCTGACCCGGGCGACCTCTGCCGGGAGTCGCACCCCCCGCGCCCTTCCCGGCTCACCTGGCGCCGCGGGACGAGGGCGCGTCGCGGCTGAGGCTGAAGCTGAGACGCTGAAGCTGCTGCACGTAGCGACCCAGCCCGTTGTGGAGGACGCTGGTCAGGAAGCGGCTCGGGGTGCCGCGCGCCGTCATGGCTCCACTCCCAGGCCACAGAGCCAGTCTCGAGGGAAGGGGGCGGGAATAACACCCAGGCTTCCGGTTCCGGGGCACGCGCCCGGGGGAGTTTTGATTCCTAGGTCCTGGCCGGTGGCGCGTGCTAGTGACCCACGTTGAGAGCGAAAGTCAAGAGACGAGAGTGGTGACACAGTGCCAGATCGGAGCGGCGGAGATCTTGCGGGTGGAGCGGAGGGAAGACACGCGGGGGGGTGGAGAAGTGGCGCGGAGAGGGGCGGGAGCCGGGAGCCCGGAGCCGCACTGTGGCGCCCTAGTGTCGAGTCCCCTTTGAGGGAAGGAGCAGCGAAGAGGGCCACTAGTTGGGGATCTAGAGCAGAGGGGCTACCGAAAGGACGCCGAGGGCTGTAGAGATGAGGACAACGAGGAGACTCCATGGAGGGCAGTAGTGGTGGAGAGATGTCTGGAGAAACCATAATCAGTGAGGGGCTGCGATGGGAGAAGCTGTAAAGGACCAGAGAGGTAGGGAGCCAGATAGAGGGACAGAGACGTGAAAGGGTCGTGCAGAAGGGCTTGGATGGAAGTAGCAATGTGGAAGGGCTGAAGAGGATTCAGAGAGATGTTTATGAAGAAGAAGTTTGAAGAGAGAGAGAAGCTACCTAGAATGAGCTCTTAAGAGTGCTGTGTGGAGGATCCCTAATAGGGTCTGACCTAGTGAAGACACCTGAACCAGGCACCTAAGGCATTTGAGGTAGGGACTTTCCCTATTTGACTAGGAATGTGGGTCCTTCTCCGAAGTGGGTACCCCCTTCGTATCCTGCTGTCCCTGCGTAAGAAGTGGATGGGTCGGAGGAGCCTGCCTCGAAGCTTGGTCCCAGGCCCTCCTCGCAGAAGGTACAGGAAGGAGGCTCTCCCTGCCTTGGAGACACCAGTGTTGCCTGTAACTGCAACTGAAATCCGCCAATATTTGCGGGCACATGGGATCCCCTTCCAGGATGGCCACAGCTGCCTGCGGACACCCAGCCCCTTTCTGGGGGCCTCACAGCTCAAGGACCAGACTGGTGCTACCACTTCCTTCAGCCTCTTCATTGACAAGACCACAGGCCGCTTTCTCTGCATGACCAGCCTAGCAGAGGGGAGCTGGGAAGACTTCCAGGCCAGTGTGGAAGGGCGCCGGGATGGAGATAGAGAAGGGATCCTGCTTAGTGAAGTCCCTGGAGCTGAGGACAGTGAGGAGGTCCGGAGAATCTGGGACCGAGCAATACCTCTCTGGGAGCTGCCTGAGCTGGAGGAGGCCCAGCTGGCTCGTGTGATGTTTGGCCTTACCAAAGTGACAGATGACACACTCAAGTATTTCAGTGTGCGGTATCTGCGGCCTGCTCGAAGCCTTGTCTTCCCTTGGTTCTCCCCTGGAGGTTTGGGATTACGAGGCCTGAAGCTCCTAGGGGCTGAAGGCCAGGGGGATGGAGTGCACTATGTTGAAACCACCATTCCTCGGCCTGGTGCCTACCACAATCTGTTTGGATTACCACTCATCAGTCGTCGAGATGTTGAGGTGGTACTGACCAGTCGTGAACTGGACAGCCTGGCCTTAAACCAATCCACAGGGCTGCCCACTCTTGCCCTTCCCCGAGGAACCGCCTGCTTACCCCCCGCCTTGCTTCCTTACCTTGAACAGTTTCGACGTATTGTTCTCTGGCTGGGGGATGACCTTCGGTCCTGGGAAGCTGCCAAGTTGTTTGCCCGAAAGCTGAACCCCAAGCGATGCTCCTTGGTGCGTCCAGGGGACCAGCATCCCCGTCCCCTGGAGGCCCTGAACCGAGGCTTAAATCTTTCTCGGATTCTGCGTTCTGCCCTACCCGCTTGGCACAAGTCTATTGTGTCGTTCCGGCAGCTTCGGGAAGAGGTACTAGGAGAACTGTCAAATGTGGAACAGGTAGCTGGTGTTCGCTGGAGCCGTTTCCCAGACCTCAATCGTCTCTTGAAGGGACATCGGAAGGGCGAGCTGACAGTCTTTACAGGTTACCCTTTGGGAAACCACTGCTTGGGGTGGTGGCAGAGGATCAGGTGGCAAAAGCATGTGGTTTTGGGCCACTGTAAATGTTGAAGAGGAGGCTTTTCCTCCCAACTTTGAGACCATGCTCCGTGTCTTGGTTTCAAGGGTAGAACTTTCCTCCCTCACCCCAGTCTGTGTTCAACCCCCCTGCAGGGCCGACAGGCAGTGGAAAGACGACATTCATCAGTGAGTATGCCCTGGATTTATGTACCCAGGGGGTGAACACGCTATGGGGTAGCTTTGAGATCAGCAACGTGAGACTAGCCCGGATCATGCTGACACAGTTTGCTGTGGGGCGGCTGGAAGAGCAACTGGACAAATACGATGAGTGGGCGGACCGCTTTGAGGACCTCCCCCTCTATTTTATGACTTTCCACGGGCAACAGAGCATTAGGTGAGATTCCCAGGCCTGAGGTTTTCAAAGAATGGGAGGGCAGGAGACAGTCTCCTGAAAGAGTTTTCAGGATGGTGACTTTCTGCCTGGGATGGACGGGAGCCTACTTGTAATTGACTTGAATTCATTGCCTCTTCCTCTTCCCAGGACTGTAATAGACACAATGCAACACGCAGTCTACGTCTATGACATTTGTCATGTGGTCATCGACAATCTGCAGTTCATGATGGGTCACGAGCAGCTGTCCACAGACAGGTGACCACCGACTTGTATAGCTGGAACCCACTTGAACACACATGTCTTCTCAGGCAGCTGGCCCCTAGGCACACACACTGTACTCTATTATTTTCTGACACATGTGCAGACATATCCCACCCCATGTGTATTTTTGTCTTTATAGAGGTGTGGGGTGTGGCAGCAGGAAGTATGGACAGGGACCTAAGTGTGAGTCCTTGGGTAAAGGGAAGTAGAGTGAGGTTGTGGTGCTTTAGGAGATGTGAGTGAATCAAGAGTATGTGTATATTCTTGCCCTTCTACCTGTGTCTGATAACTCTTTGCTTTGTTGGGGTCGGGGCAGGATTGCAGCTCAAGACTATATCGTCGGAGCCTTTCGGAAGTTTGCAACAGACAGTAACTGCCATGTGACACTGGTCATTCATCCCCGGAAGGAGGATGATGATAAGGAACTGCAGACAGCATCCATTTTTGGTTCAGCCAAAGTAAGTGCCCTTTAGAGGAGCCCAAGCCTTGGAAAGTAGAGGGGGAAGGTGTGACCAGGCACAGCCCTCAGTCACCCTTAAATGATCTTGACTTCATCTGGAAGAAGGGCCGTGACATGAGGAATACAAAGGCTGATAATTGTTGGTCCTTTGCTCTCCTTGCCCTCCAGGAGCTCACATTCCCTAGTGGGTAAAACAATGAGACAGTGATTACAACTCAGTGTGATAAAAGCTATGAGAGGCAGCACAGGTGTTTGGGGAGCAAAGAGAAAAGACATCTGAGTCATCCTGGGGCATCCCGGGAGACTTCATAGAGGAGGTATCAGCAAAGGTTGGGTTGAGTTTTAGCCTTTTCGGTCACAGTAGATATTTAATAACATAACATGCCTTCTGGGCAGCAGGACCAGCCTAATCCTGGAGCTTCTGGTGGTATGCTGAATGCCTATTACATGCCAGGCCTGTGCTGGGCACAGAGAATACAGGGTGAGGAGCACAGGTTGTGTGCCACAGTGGAACAAACATGGACCTGGGAAACAGAATAACACAGAAATTAAAAGATGGCGGTGCGTTCTTTGTTTACGGGGATCAAGGATGTTCTCTCTGATGAAGTGTGTCATTTAGACTTAGACCTCAATGATAAGCTGGGGTTGAGTAGGGTGGTGAGCTGTGTAGGAAAAGTGTTACAAGCAGAGGAAACAGCAGGTACAAAATCTGAGGATGGTAGCAAGGTTGTTAAGGATCTGGCCCCGGCATCATGGTCAACAGTTCAAAGAGCTGTGATAAAAAGGGAAAGTGCTTTTTCCTTTCCCAATTAATGCCACTTCCCCTGTGCCCTCAACCTTACTTTCTGCTTTTCTCATGTCTTCTCACTGCTCCTTCATCCTCTGCTCGTCCCTCAGGCAAGCCAGGAAGCGGACAATGTTTTGATCCTGCAGGACAGGAAGCTGGTAACTGGGCCAGGGAAACGATATCTGCAGGTGTCCAAGAACCGTTTTGATGGAGATGTAGGTGTCTTCCCACTTGAATTCAACAAGAACTCTCTCACCTTCTCCATACCACCAAAGAGCAAGGCCCGGCTCAAGAAGATCAAGGATGAAAATGGGCTAGTGGCCAAAAAACCCTCTTCTGGCAAAAAAGGGGCTGTGCCCCAGAACTCTGAGACTTGCTTGGGTGAGGCCCCCAACCCCTACCAGCCAGACCCCTCCAAACTTTCCAGGTGAAGGATGTACAGAACAGGACACTGGAACGAGCCTGATAGGGCAGGCTGGGACATGGACTCTTTCTTGGCCCTCTGCTAGGACTGCCTCTGTCCTGTGGTCCTAAGCTATGGGCCCTTCTCAGTCTGAGGGGCCTAGCCTAGGGCAAGGTCCCGTAGTGAGAGAATTCAATTTAGCAGATATTTGAGAACCTACTGTGTGCTAGGCTTTGTTCTAGGTTGGGGGAATACAGCACTAACAATACAGATGAGGTCCCTGCTTCCGTGAAAAATGCAGTCTGGTGGGGGGACAAGATAAGCTAATGGATAAATACAGAACATCATTTTCGATAGTGAAAAATGCTATTTGAAAAATAGTAATGCGATAGTGCTTACAGGCTAGTTTAGATTAAGGTCTGAAAACTTGTCTCTGAGCAGAGGACATTTGAGCTGGGGCCTAAAGAACTAGTATTGAGCCATGTGAACATCTGGAGAAAGAGATATCCAGGCAGAAGGAAAAGTAAATATAGAGGCCCTGAGGTGGGAATGAGCAAGTAAGTTGAGTTCAAAGCAATGGGGTCAGGCCCCCTGAACCTGGAGAACAGGAGACTTCTTGCCAAAATTCCAGCCTAGGCTTTTGGAGCCAAAGGGTGACATGGTGGGTACCAAGCTCCTCTGCTCCCCACTCTGGAGCCTGCTATGTGGTGGAACTCGCTATCATTGGATCCTAGGTGTTTGGCCAGAGAGCCATGGAAAGAAGCTGTGAGCCCAGAGTGCTTGCCACCTGGATACTGATTGTATGGTATGCTGCCTCTGACCACTTTAGTGGATGCAGTCATAACTTTTTGTAGAGCCTTTCCCAGTTTTTACTGAAAAAAATTATTTTCCATTGGCTTTGTTTCTGTGCTGCTTCTTCTTTGTCCACTAGGTGTCTCTCCAGTCTCTAACCAGATTTTCTTCTCACTGGTGGTGGTCCCCTCCCCCACCACCAGTCTTTAAGCCCTGCACTCCTAAGGAAGCAGAATTAAAAGGCCATCACGCACATGCACACATACACCCCTTTACACCTCTTCTTAGCCTATGGAAGACAGGATGGTGTCTCTTTATCCCTATTTTTCCTGAGGATCTTCATGTGATCCCTGGCAGAGGTGTAGGTCACCAGGCCACATGCCTAGGTGCTGCCTGACCAGCTGTCTCTCTGTGACATGAGCCACCCACTGACCTCTCAATGTGGACTGAGGCTCAGCATATTCTTATCTGGCCTCCATCCATTTCCACCCTCCTGTACCTCCTTAGCATTTCTCTTATGTTGGTGTGTGTCAGAACACCTAGGGCTCTTGTTTGAAAAAGCAGAAACTAGGCCCTTCTCTTGCCCCAGTCCTCACAGACATTTCTAATTCTAGAAGTTCTAGGATTGGTATAGGATTACTCATTTGGAACAAGTGCTAAAGGAGATGGGAAGATAAGCTATCCAGAGACCCTGTCAGAAATATTCCTAAATGATGACACTTTGATCTCACTTCGTCTGATATCCTAAAGTCCCAGTTTCCCTTTAGATTTCCCAGCAAGCGTGGTGAGAATGCAACATGTTCTGAAGGGACTGGGGAGAAAGAAGCCTTTTGTAAGGTTGGGAGATTGGTTCCCTACTCTGAAGCAGGACTGCCTTATTGAGGTCTCCCTATCAACCTAAGAAGGGGCTTCTGGGACCCTGTAGAATGGTCTGGTGTCTCTGGTCTTTTATGTGTGAGAACTATGGCTACAATTGTCTCCTGAAACAGACCGGGAGGAAAGCTGTTTTCTGTGGAGGAAGAATCTGGGGGAAGGGAAGAGAAAGCTTCTCCAGGGCCTCCCTTCTTAGGGGTCTCTCCCAGACTGGCTGGAGCCAGGCCTCCTAATCCTGCGGTAATCATTCCCAGCCGCTGGCTGGTCTAGGCCTCATCCAAGGTCTATAACACTGAACGTCAGCCATGCCTTCCAGATGCACACCACCAGGTCAGTCCTACCTATAAGGACTGGGTTCCACATTCTGGTCTCCCTAGAATGCCTGGTGTGTTGTCAGGAAATCCTTCAGGGGTTTCCATTAGGGGAACTTTGTGAGATCTCTGTGAATTGGGGATAGAGGACTGTCTGTCTTGCCCAGCCCTCCTAGCAGACACAGCCACACAGCACAAACCAGAATGATCGGGAGGGAGGGGAAGCCAGTGCTCCCCCAGCCCCACACCTTATACAAACATTCCATTCCACAACTGTCAAACTCACATCAAGGTGAGCCCAAATTGTGTTCAGGAGTGCCTGGAGCCTAGAAAGCAGTGGGGGATCCCTGGGAGCCACTGTCCCTGAACCTAGCCAAGGTGGATTAAAGCAAAGGACTCTGCCTATTCCAATTGGATAAGAATCTCCCCGAGAGCTCGGGAAGGGCCTGACCAAGCAGGCTCCAGCTGGATGTGCAGCCCTTTCTTCAGATTCAGTATTGCACTTTGCTGTGAGGGAGCTGCTTTGGCCCTCGAGCAGCTTCTTTACTGTGGATGGGTTTGAGAAAGGACAACTCACTGGACTCCTGCTGTCCAACTGCTAAGGCTACAAATATGGCCCAGATACCTGCAGACATCACAGTCTGTCTTCCCACAGGCTGCCTTAGGTACCATGGAGGGAGGGAGCCCTAGGTGCCTCTGCAATACAGGCCAACTTCCTGTTTGTGCCTGTGGGTGGAACTTTATAAGTTTAAGGGAAGTCAGCCTATGCTCTGTACAGGAACCAGAACTGGCAGGCTTGCTCACCTGGGCAGACACCTACTCCAAAGGAGAGCTAGGTGCTGGTTCTGCTTAGGCAGCCCCAACCCAAGGTGTAGGGGGGAGGAGAGGTGGGTCTGTTTTGGTGAAACCCGATCCTTCTTTGTCTGCTTCCCAGGGGTTTTCCCTGTATCTGGGGAGTGGGCCGAAGGTAGACCAGGTTTGGCACCCTACAGAGCAGGGATTGGTGGCAGGAAAGCCCTATAGCCAGCTTGGTTAAGGCAGCCAGGTAGGTAGGTTAGCTCTTGATCACGTGCTACTCGCCCCTTCCCCAGGTCTAAAGCCAAATCCAGTAAGCTGAGAAGTCAGAGGCCAGAGGGCAGCCTCGGGCCACCGCCGAGCTACTGCTGGGCTGGGTTCTGGGTAAGCTGTTGAGGGGGTGCTGGGCAGACCACTCCCTTCCTTGGGTCGGGGGCGCGGCCTCCGCGGCCCCGCCCCGCTCCACCAGGCCGGACCCGGCGGGCGCCAGGAGCTCGGAGCCGGGATCGGGCTTGAGAGCTGACGGATCCGCGGCAAGGAGGTGCCCGCGCTGGAGCAGGAGCTGGGCAGGAGCTGGACAGGAGCTGGAGCGGCGGCGCAGGTGGCACTGGGTGAGTGGTGGGGCCGCGAAGGTGTAGGAACTCGCGCCTCCCTTACATCCCGGCTCCGGAGTAAACTTTCCCATCTGGCGAAGCTGGGGGTTGGGATGAGGAGGGGGGGAGTCCCCACGCCGGAGCGCAGGCGAAGTGTCTGAACAGGAAACCGACACGGAAATTCACAAGGACGGGCCTACACCCGCGTGCACTCAGACCCACGCACGCACTTGGGACACACGAACACACGTGCACTCAGGAAAGGACGCGCCCAGTGGGTTATTCTTGCTGTCCTTGGAGCAGCGCCCCTGGCCCGCGCTGACCCCAGCGGGCAAGGATCTCTGCTGTCGCACAAATGACCCGACTGAGAGAAAAGCGCGGACCCATCGGGGAAGGGGGCGGGCCGGGTGGGACACCTCCTGCGGCTCCTCCCCCTCCCAGGTGAAGACTGAGACGTAAACAGGCGCCGAGCACGTGATAGCTTCGCCGACAGGTGGGCTGTGCTTCCCCCCACCCCGGCATCAGGGCGAGGACGCCCCTCCCCAGTCCAGGTAGAGTTAACGGGGTCCCCAGCGGGGCTGTATTCTATTCTCCGCCTAGAGAGGTGATAAGACCTCCTCCAGAAATGGGAGCACAACGCCCCCTGGAGTCCGGAGAGCGCAGGAGAACGGGAGACTGTGGACTGGGGTGGGGTTACCTGGGCTCCTCGCCTTGCTTCCCGCTAGCATTCTCCTGGTGCCCTCATCCCTGAAGGTATCCGAAGGGGGGCGCTATTCTTGATGGCAGCGGAAAACAGCACCCCTTTTTCCCAGCCCCATACCTCTGGCCTGGGTGGCGGCTGCCTGAACACCCGTCGGTTCCTTTCCTACTAAGACCCCTCCTTGTAGAGCTGGGAGCTCCTTCCCCCAGCATAGGAGCTGAAAACCCACTCACGCAAGAGTGGGAGTCCCCCTCCCCCAGAGAATGCAGGAGCATAACCTTCCCCTCAGTACCGTAGTGGGCCTATACTCCTCAGGTAGAGGGAGGACGACCCCCCCCCC